ATAGTTCTGCATAGATTTTAAGGTCGGCGGTGTACATTTGCAAGGTAGCTCCTGTTTACCAGAAGAGCCAGTCATGGTTGGTTTGTCCGCTGCTACTGCAGTCAATACTTTTTAGCACTAGCAATTTTCCATTATATGTATTTTAGATTGCATTGTATGGCATCTATTTTTAGATATAGCATCAAGAACGTGCCTCCATTAGGAGCCTGGCTGGAATAAGTCTTTCCAAATTTGTGTAGGGTTTCTCCAACAGACCGATGAAACGACGCAGTAACCATTCAAGCATCTATTAACCTAGATAATAATATCCTATCTTTCTTGTTTCCCTTATTGTTATTGCCTGGTAGTAATTTTTGCCAACGCCGAAATTTGAATCAGTAGAGCAGCATGCTTGTTAATCATAGTTACCATGGCAGAGCACCCAAAAAGATGAGCCCCGCTATTCCTTGCAGAGGCCCAATCGTACACTTAATCACAATTTACTTCTAAGTGTGGCGAGACGGTCGAGTACAATTTCTGGAGTCAGTCATAGAGCCTTTAAAAATAAGGCCTATAGTCATTACATACTTAATATAACATTCACATGAATTAGCAAATTAAGATTGAGCTAGCTTCCATACAGGCAGATGTTCAAAAGTTCAATCATCGTCATCATTGCTCTTCTCTTGAAGCTGGCAGCTACATGCCGTCCACGGCAAGTAAAGTTCCAATTTTCGCTGATCAACTTCAATCATATGTAAAAGTTTCATACTTAGCGTGTGATGCTACTCGGCACGATGGTTTAGCGTTGTAACTAAGATATTCGTTTCACGGTCGCATATTAAATACTGTCTTTATTGGCTTGTCAGGTAGGGCTCGAAGCTCTGATGGGATATTACACACACACACACACACGTTTAGTTGTTCGCAATGAACTTTATTGTAGAGACCCATAAGAAAAATAACAACATCGACATTGTAATTCAAATCAAGCTCAGATTATTGCCTCATTCACAGGTCACGATGGCTCACAGTAGCGTATATTTACCAAAATTCGCAGCGCGCTGGAATCGATGAGTGGATCCTCTGAGTCCTTCCTGTTTTGTGAAAAGCCAAATAATACTGGGAAAACGCCAGTCACAGCGAGCGGATTCAGGTTCAATCACTTTATCTTATCATATACATGGTTACGGCTCAAGGAAGTTATCATCAACAGAATCTCTCTCCTTAAAGTCTTGTTGTTATTTTTACATCCCACAATATTGATACAATTAAGAGTATCACGAATGGCAACATTCAAGTGTTTTCCGCTTCAACGGATTTCCGATTACTTTTATTTTCTTCAAAAGCTGACTTATACACACCCCACGAAAATATGCTGGCACCAGCCCTTAATCTATAAGCATGTATATACATGACACTCGACGCCAGAAAGATCCTCTTCCGTTGGCGCGGTCGGGGCGAAGGGGGTGGGTGGGGGACCGTGCGCCCGACTTATCGCTACTGAGAGCGCTCCACCGTTCGGAACTGGCAGGCCGTTCGTTTTGAACGGCCTGCCAGTTCGACACAGCCAGTGCCGCAGGATTTGTTGCTTGATCAGCGCTGTCCAACAGAGATGAATCGAAGAGGCGGGATGTTTTACGCGAGAACCTCTAGCCGCTGTAGAGACGGCACGATCTGCCGGAAACGATTAATCGTACTAGAATGCGATGATGCTATCTCAACATGATGATAGTGATCATAATGAAAATCATAATCATCATCATTAACAATTGTGCTGAGTATTCGCACCTTCTGACAAAAACAACTGCGGCCCCTCGCCCCCTGTTTATCAGTAGTCACATGGACATGTCGATGTGTTCGATAGCTGACGCGATGATGGCAATTTAAAGATAATGCGAAGGTGTTCGCCTTGGATTTGCTTAAATCTTTACGGATCAAATCCACTTTATGGAAACTAGAGATTCGGAAAACGTATGAATAGTTAATATTTTGCACCTGAAATAGCCTGAAATATTCAGTGTCGGCCTACGTTCAAACAAAACAAGCAAAAGATACGTTTTCTGACCTTCACCCTGTATATGGCCTATGGTGATGCTTACACCATTTATTCATCGATATAATAATAATTTGCTTTGTTTACACAAATTATGTTTTATTTATGCACCATTGGAGGGACCAACTATGACTCTTTTGCGGCCTGAAGCGTGGCCACTGGAGTCGTACCTGCTCGACTTACCAGTACTCGTACCTGTTGCAGGTTGCGTCCAATATTTGTCTAAAAATGCTAAGTGGCACGTTAGCAGAGATAGTCCATAGAAAATAATGGCGAGTCAATTATGCTTTTATAACAATTTACTTGACTTTTTTCAATCATTGAAATAGTTTTTTTTTTTTTGTGATTTTTACTCTAAATTTGCTCAGTTGTAATTATCGCCTACGATGGCTATTTACGCATCACAATGGTAGGTGTTATAACAAATATCACAACGTCACATAAAATGGAGAAACGAGAAAAGCTGCCCCTTAATCTTGTTGCGCTGAAAAGTTCTCTTCCCAAACGAACGTCTTTCGGTTGCGAATTGTTCATTACATGACATACTTGTGATTCTCGGCAACAAAAATGTATTCGTAATTTTACGTAACGACAAGAATTAAGGGTACATTACTGTCGCAGCAATAATCTTCTGTGTTTGGAAACCGTTATTAGGATCGGATATATCAAGCGATACTGCTAAAATCCCCCGCTTAAGCAAACGTACTTAGCTGACTCACATAAAAAAAAAAACTCATCGAAAGCGAACTAAACGTGTGAAGCGACCGAAACCGAAGCTATAAATGAGTCAGGTTTCAAGGTATCCCTGAATGAGATAAAACTTTTTTTTCTAACCAATCGATTAACGAGTTTATTCCGGAACAAAAGATCCGTGCCCATTGCGTTGAAAGCCAATTAAACACCTTTGTTGGGTTACCCTTTTAGGCGCCATTTAGGATCGAAGTGATAATTATGCTGCCGGAAAATGTTGCTTGTAAAAGGGCCACAGAGCCGCGCGGGAAGGCGTACAGATGGCCACCGAACTCTTGCCGATGATTTTAACAGACACACTTAAATGCTCAGCGTTCGTTAGATTAACCGACTAATAGGAAGTACTCATTTATGTATCATGCCAGCCCTTTAGTGACTATTTAAATGTTCGACACGAACTAAACCAAGACATAACGTCTTCCTTGAGAAATGTTTACAAAATTTTTACACGTGACCAGCGGCTGGTTTATATGTAACATGTTAATCCATATATATATATATATATCCAATAATCCAATGGTATACAAGTTAAATTTACAGGGACGGTCTCTGGTGGTTATGAGAAACATTGGTATCAAAAAAGGTCCAACTCTGGTAGCACGATCACCTTTATGTTAAAAACCTCGTTTGAATACTTGTGAATATCTGTTATAATCATTACTCTTATACTTGTAAATCCATGCTTACTCGTTTTGAAAGAACCACCTAATTGGACGGTACCATATACTTAGCCATACGCAGAACATTTACTCAAGTAACAGTTGAAACTGAACTTCACCCGTTGTGCGATTGGGCAGCTTTGAAAAAACCCACAATTTGGCAACTTAGACTTGCGGAGTACTGTGCTCTCTATCGCAGCCCCACTTAACGTTTCTCCTTCACATCAGCCTGGCCCGTCTATTTACCACCTGCAATGAATGCCTGGCGCCGTTTTTAAATCCGCTGCTGCTGCTGCTGCTGCCGCCGCCGCCGCCGCCGCTACCGCCACTGCCGCTACTTTTGCAGTGTTGATGGTCAGCTCGCTGTCAATAGAGCCCCCGATGGCAAGCACCGTGGCTGAAGCCGGCTTCTCAAGGTACCTGTTCCCCTGTACATGTGAAACTGCTTTTGCATTCCGGTACGCACCTGTCTAGTCCGTATTTGTGTCTGTCTGTCTGTATATTTTGCGTGCTATCTCTGTGCAGTCCCGTTCCCTCACCAGAATCCTCCCGTCGTCTCTCAAGCTATAGGCTGAGTTTTGCACAGCGCAACGGACGCTGATCATATTAGGATGCGATGAGCGCGTTGATTTGATCTTCGTTGTCGTTTTCGCCGTTCGTCATAATTCTCGCTAAGCCGACAGCGATCTTGGCCGCCGTAACAGCTACGACTCCAATAAATGTAGAAGTAGCAGTAACCATTACAATGACCACAAAAACGGCTGATGGAAGCTTATGAACAGCCCCTGGCCGGCGACACTTTCAGCGCCCACGTTTTCCTATTTATTCGTCGCTCACTCATAGCTCACCGGCTTATTTGCTGGGCCGTCTGGGTGGGCTAGTCGTGTCTAGCAAGTTGGAGTTGTCTGCGCCCTCCGCCGACGCAGCCTTCCACTGGGCGCTTGTCACCAGCGCCTCCTCCGCTCTCTAACCTGTATCGACAAATAATATGACGACTGATCTGCTCGTTTGCCTTTGTTGGCCTACACCGCAGCCGCTTCTGCCGCTATTCGCTTCTCCATGTTGACTGTCGCTTAATGCTGGCTACATCTGCCGACGGCCGCGACGGCAACAGTCCTCTCCGTGACTCTCTCCTACCGGCTATGCTCGCCGCTCGCGGGCGCCCAACAACAACAACAGTGATGGCGTCGACCGAGGAAGAGCTGGGTCGGAGCGAAACTCCGGGCGCGCCGGGAACGACGTTCTCGAAGGTGGGTGATAGACTTGACGGCTAGACGCCACTTGACGTAAGCTTTCTAACGGTACCCGACTCGACTTGGGTTGATCGGTGGTTTCAAGCCCTACAATCAACGCATAGAGTTCGCTCGAGCGATTGCAGCTGGGTGCCTACCAGTCTGCCGCCTGGAGTGTGTCTGTGGGTGTGTGTGGGTCTGTGTGTGAGTGTGTGTTCGCGTGTGTGTGCGTGTATGTGTGTGTGTGTGTATGCGTGTGTGTGTATGAGTGTGTGTGTTGACCACTATGTGTGCACACAATATACTGTATTGAGCGGTGCTATCTGTCGAGATACGAAGGAAGATTATTGATGATGTTGTATTGTCGATCCACTGCATTCTGCTATTCTGGAGTGTTTTATGTTAGTGTTGCGAAGTTGTTAAACAAACAGAACCCTGATTCGTTGTCGATAATCTACCGTGCACGGCATAGCTTAGTTTTCTTAGTTCCTTACTGGTTCTATGGCCAAGGAAATGCGGCCCCTTTGCTGTTTTTGCATCAGACCAAAACAGATAAAGCCAACGTAGGGAGAGCACGCACGTTCTGCGAATGGTTTGTTTGTCCTATATCACCAGCAATGTTCTAACAATTGGCTTACCCTCTGAACCGCTAGCGTTCCTACTGCTCCATGGCTGGCTAAGATTACCAGAGACCTGTGAGTCTGTCAACTCGCGTCCGCGTCCCAAGCTAGCCGCTCTCAGCTGGGCTCTGTGACAGAATAGTGATCGCGCTTATCTAACGCCCCCAACTGTCATTGATGTGCTCCTATAATGTTGAAGTTAAAGTGGTGGAAACTTGATTCGCACATTTTTACCGGCCGGCCAGAACTTGCAGTTTGTGAATATGGGGGGCAAATATTGTGATGAGCTTCGTGGAAAGCGTTGCGTTTATAAAGAATACAAGGTAGTGAAGGACCTTGATTGAAGGAAAATAATTCTCATGCCGGCCTTGGGCGTATTAGTCGTGGACCCATTGTAGATCACGCGTTTTATAAGGCTCCAGTTAATAATGAAATAGTAATGGTGACGATATTTGTTGAAGCGCGTTTTTTTCAAAGCTACATTCGCTAAGACTAGCTTTGATTGATTTCAATTTGGTAAATCTCTGCTGGGAGGACGGCCGCCAATGCTTTCGTTTGACTGCACGGCACGTCTATTTCAAATTTTATTATTCATTACCGCCCAGAGAGTGCGTGAAATAATTGCAACTGCTGTTTTTCATTACAGCAAATTTTGCACAAACTATTATAAAATAAGACCATTTTACAGGAATCTGCCTCCCTATAAAGATCAGCAAAAAAAAAAAGGTTCTGCCTTTCGCGATAAACATACATTTTCTCTAATAATTGCAATAAAAATTTATTTGAATATATCTATAAGACGCGCCACTTTGCTCTACCATTCGTACCTTTCTGATATCCGCCATGATGCACAACAGAAAAAATGTAGGTCTCATAGAAACAGCTCGACCCTCTAAATAGTGCATGCGAAACGAAGTACTTCGCATACAACAGGAAGCCATGAATAACGAAGTTGAAATGTTGTCGTGAAGTTACATAATGCTTATCGTTTGAGTAAAATGGAACGTATTTTTAGTATGCAAACAACGCTGCACATAGTACGCTTATTAGTTGTATCGAGTGGCACGTAATGATACGAATAGATAACAGTGTAACGCACGATACAAACTGAAATTAAACCTAATAACCGAGCTTATAAGTAGGTTTATCATGTCTTCGTACGATAACTTACCGCTCACTAATTAAATGTTTACATCTCAAAATGTTGCTAGTCTGTGAAACCTAGTCAGCGGATAATTATTTAATTATTTTCCGTCCGTTTTTCTTTTCTGTTGGTGCATTGTGCCTATCGACTTGAAACCATACCTCCAGCGTGTTAAAGAGCGCAAACATTATACGGATGACCTCGGCGATGAGTTTCTCGATGGCGGTCGCACATTCACTATCGAAGATAAGCTCACTGCGCCTGAATTCGGTGCTTATTTTGTCAAGGAGATGGCATCAGGAGCGGATTTTTCGCTTGCCTACTTCCAGGAGCACGGGTTCGAGGAGCCCTTACTCTTCAAAGACAAAACCAACCTCGGAATGCGGTACGTATATATATTCGGTATTGTAACGTATGCTTATTACGGGACCATCTATTTCCATCCAAAGGAAGGAGAACACCCGTTCAAGAGATCTAGGGGAAGTTTTTTGTACTACTGATATAGTTGGCGAAATGGCTTGCATGGCTAAATCTCTATCCGAAAAAAAGCAGGAGTTGTTGGTCTAGCGCCCGTCTACAGCAAATACTACATGATAAATGTGATCAAACAGCAAAAAAGCACATATTCAAGAGAAATAGATTTAAGGCTCATGCTCTCCTTTTTCCCCTTTTTTCTATGTTTTTTTTTTTTTTTTTTACTAATTTAGACTTCCATCAGAGAAGTTCAACGTGAACGATGTCCGTATGTGCGTGGGTTCTCGTCGCCGCCTTGACGTAATGGACGTCATCACGCAAAAGAATATCGAGATGACAATGAAGGAATGGTGCAAATACATGAACACGCCGGCACCGAAACGGGATCGTCTGCTAAACGTCATATCGCTTGAGTTCTCACATACGAAGCTCGAGAACTATGTTGAATCCCCGACGGTAGTTAGACAGGTAAATTTATATATATATATATATAATAATTTTTATTTAGAAAATTATAAACTGTTTAGTTCCTTGCTTAAATATGATCTCCTTGTAAACGTAGTGGGGAGTGCACATGTGTCATTGATGCCATGTATATATAATTTTACGCCTTTGTAACGCATCCATTCCATTTTTGCGTACAGGTGGACTGGATTGATGTAGCATGGCCAAGACACTTAAAGGAATCACAAACCGAAGCCACGAATTCGCTGGACGATATGAAATATCCCAAAGTGCAGAAATATTGCCTCATGTCCGTGGCGGGTTGCTATACAGATTTTCACATCGATTTTGGTGGAACATCCGTGTGGTATCACATACTTTGGGGCAAGAAAATATTCTGGCTAATACCGCCTACGGAAACGAACCTCAAACTTTACGAGAGTTGGGTCCTCTCTGGTAAACAGGTAAATTTCCATTTAAAAAACCTGTGAAAAGAACATTGCAAAGGTAATGTACAGCTAGGATAGGACAAGCAGGAGTAACTGACTTTTAGTAACTTAAAAACGGGTTTGACAAGCTTTTTTCTTTTTTGTAAGTACGCGTAGCTCAACGTTTATAAGCGTTCTCATAATAAACACCACTAACTTATGGCATTGGCCTTATGTAAGATTAAAAAGATACTTCATTTTATTTCGCAGACTTTCAGTTTATATATTTTCGAGGTCCCGATTCTAATCATTTTCGAAAACTCAATTGCGTTTATCTTCGAGAATTTGACTCTGCCTATTTGTAAGACCTTGATCCTATCATTCAATCGAAGAAAACCTGTCGGAAACGAGTGATTTTTCAAATAACTTACATCTCCTGCTATATCTGTCTCCTTTGTTTTTTCACTGCAACTCTTCTCCTACTGTTTTCACCAGGGCGACATCTTTTTTGGCCAGTCAGTGGAAAAATGTGCCCGGATTGAGCTGAATGCTGGTGAAACCTTCTTTATACCAACCGGTTGGATACACGCCGTGTACACGCCTGTCGATACCCTCGTGTTCGGCGGGAATTTTTTGCACTCGTTCGGTATTGAGAAGCAACTGCGCATCTCTCAGATCGAAGACACAACCCGGGTTCCCCACAAATTCCGCTACCCCTTTTACACTGAAATGCTCTGGTAAGGTGTTAGCTTTAACCAGCGGGAAAAAAATTATTAGACAATTTGATGTTATCATAAATTAACAAAATCGTCTGTTAATATATGAACAAACACATTTTTGTAGTAAGCGGGTTTTCGGACACGTTCCTGTTAGTCATTACACAGCAGTCTGGTAGAGATAATCATAAATTTCGCAGTGAAACGCGATGAATTACTATAATAATATTAAGATAATAGGCTTAGGAAATTTGGATGGAACTTGCGTTTACCAAAATTGTACGCCTGGTTTGGTGGATGTAGTTTAATTTGGCTGTCCTTAAGGCCAACCACAAGAAGCCATTATTTCTAGCCTTATGTAGCTACTTTCTACTCTCAGGTACGTCCTCCAACGATACGTCATGTGCCTGACAGGACGAAATCATTTATCCTGTGATGAGGAAGGCAAACCCGTTTCAATTAATTGCCTCCTAGCGCCCAAACCACGCCCAGAGATGGAGTCGGTCCGACTCACCCGCCGCGAACTGGTCGGCCTGTCACTAATCGTTGACCATGTTCAACGATTGCCACTGGCAAAACGAGGTTGCCCTGATCTGCTGCGCGATCCGAACGCACTACTGCAGGATGCTAGCGTAGGTACCATAATTAACCTTCATTGGCCGTGTCACACTCCTAAAATCTTATTTGATGTTCACCACCTATTATCGTCATCATCAGGTTTTGTAGATGTATCTGTGCGAACAATTGCTACTAGTGAAAGGGATGGCAAGCTTACTGAAAAAGGAACTCGAACTTCAAAGGATTGATGCATTGTATTTATAGTGTATAAAAGTAAGAGATGATATGTGCCTGCATCTTGTACAAGGGCATTTATAGAGAGGAAAAACAGTTGTAATACCAATGTACTTCCTTTATTTTTTCTACTTTGCTTCTTTATTTCAACCATAGCATGTGATCGCTCTCCATTTGTCCGATGACGCCCGCTTAGCGATCACGGGTCAACCCGTCCTGACGTGGCCAGAAGGGGCTGTTAAAAGGCGTCCACTTATCCTGCAAACGAGTGGAGGCCCGAAAAGGCCACAGGCTGCCCCGCGAACTCCTAAAGGCCAGCAAAGACAGGCTGATAAGGACCAGGATAAGGCGCGTCGAAGGAGAACCAGGTGACTGACCGCTCAATCTACAGTTATAGATTTTCATAACGCTGTTTTAGCTTAAGTGTTCCTCTTTTTTTTCTTCTTACATTTGCCTAAACCAATAAGGCACGTGAAGCAACAATTACAAGACACGATAAGTAGGGTCAAAAGATGATGTAGAAATACTCGAAGGATTAGTACTTTTTAGTGACGATGTCACGTGTGTGTTAATTGCGAGCCGTTTAACTAGTACACGACTAGCAGGACGACCGACGCAAGTTACAGCAAGCGAAAGGGTCTCAAGTACTACAACAATATATAAATAGAGAGGACTTTACAGTTTACAAGACACAAAATAGGTTTGTAGGTTTTCATACCAGAAACACGTTCGAACTGGTAAAAGCCAGTGCAGGAGAGTGGAAGTTAGTCCAGCATTGAACCTTAACAATAATCAATAACCTGTTTCTAATGTAGCTTTTAACTAATATTAGTGTTCCGGAAACGCCCAACCGGGAACACTCGATCAGCGTATCGTTGGAATACGTTCTTGTACATACACATCATGTGTCATGACTATAAATGGGCGAGTTAAGTCTTCCTGCTCGGGGAAACATTTCTCGTACGTTACCATAGCTGTGCCAACATAAATAAAGCAATGTAATATATATATAATATATTCTGAATAAAGCTCAATAGGAAAAAATGAATAGTTCTGGTTAGTCATTTGCCTCAGATGTGTACCAATTAATATGTAATGTACCAAAAAAAACGTTATAAAAAAAATTATTATTCCCACTGTAGATGCACGAGTGAGAAGCGGAACGTATTTTGGCTATAAGATCAAACTAAGGCATCTGTATCGGAAAACACAATAGTAGTCGTCTACGCTAGGCATCTTATTAGACAACTAAAACGCGTTTGGATTTAAACGAACGCTATAAGATATGGCTGTGTTACTTTCAATGTGTATATTTCATATCTGTGTTGCAAATCTTTAATATATGACAGCTGGTATTAGTAGGCATCGGACTGATATATATTCAGCGAAATGCAGTTACCTCACGTTTCAAAAATGTATATTTTTTTCAGTATAAAAACTAATTTTAGGGAAAATACACCTGGCCCGTGTACGCCCGTAAATACACATCAAACAATCGCAGTAGGTCCGGTTGATTTATTAAACATTATTTCGTAGTCCAAAACATGTACATTAGAATGATGCGTGGCACAATAGTAATCGGTCCTGTGATTTGTATTTGTCAGTTATTGGGCGAACGATACTTATCATTATACTATTTAGCCACACGTCCGTTATGGCTATTTACACACCCTATGTTTTTTTGTTGTTGTTCATTGTTGTTATTATTCTATGTGTATACTGTGTCAGATGCCGCAAGTGCGACGCGTGCCTTCGCACCGATTGTGGGGACTGCCACTTCTGCAAGGATATGCGAAAATTTGGCGGGCCCGGTCGCATGAAGCAGTCGTGTCTGGCTCGCCAATGTATGGCGGTAAGCGATTACGAGTTCTTAGATAATCAGAAGATAAGGTATATGTTATTATTCATTCTATTCGTCAATACTCATTAGATTAGCTAGTAAGTTATGTTGGTATCGGCTAAATGTGCCATTTTTTTTTGCTTTAATCTTATTCTGTTAACATAATGGCAGCCGGTGCTGCCACATACGGCGCAGTGCACTCTTTGCAAAACGGAGCGGCCAAACCAGTTAGCTCCCCCCGGGGTTCCTCCACCAGATGACGGCGAAGTTCCGCCCGGCCAGCTGATGGAATGCGTCCAGTGTTGGGAGATCGTACATCCAGACTGTCTTATTAATGCACACCCGGAGTTCACTCTTAGTGACGGACTGCTCAACGAGGATCTACCGAATAGTTGGGACTGCCCGAAATGCTGCCGCGAAGGAAAACCCGAACAAGCTAAGGTTAACCAACGATGCGTTTAGATGACAACGGAATCTACTTTTTTTTTGTGCCCTTATTGTGGCCCTCCCGTTAGAGTCAATTCCAAAATTGCACCCGTGAAAATTAAGGTCTCAAACTCTAGATAATGTCGATTTGGAATTTTACTGAAACTGATCCTGTAATTTCTCCTTCGGAAATGATTCATGTCGGCAATAGTTATTGTAATGAATATGGTATGTAGAAATAATATTTATGGTGTTCGAAATTCACAAAAGCTGTACGCTTTCTGTTTGCAACAACATACCATTTAGTCAGTAAGTCGCAACCTTCTTATCTCTTTATTTACAAAAAACTCACAGACACGCCACACGAAAGGGGGTGGCGGAAAAGGAAACCCCCGCGTGACACCATTTGTTCGCTACGACGAATCGCCGCCAGAGAAGAAGCTGAAACTTGAAGATGGCCCCGCTACCCAACCGGCTAGCGGTCAGCGACAGAGTGTGCTTGAAAACCTCAGCAACAAAATTCATCCGATCACGCCCAAATGTGTCGTTCGACCCGTTTCTTATCTGGTATGATTTTCAACGTTGCTAGATATTCCTGACTCAACGTGGACACAGGTTACGCAAGATCGTTCACCTAGATTCGGACTTCCTTTAAGGCCTTCTTTTTTTTTGCCTTGTTGCCAAGGCTTTATCTAACTAAGAGCAGACGATATTTCAACGATTTTTTTTACATGTGCTACCAATGTCATTTCTGACAATCACGGTTATATACTCAATGTGACTTTTGTTCAACTTGATCACAGCTTCGATTTAAAGCCCGAAGTAGACGCTAGTTATCTTCGAAGTATTTTGCGATTGATCTTTAATAGCGACCCTCTACTAAGCCATTTGGTAGGGGTGGACTCGTAAAATGGCGGATACATTTTGTAGAAATAGAACTCGATCTACATTCACAGCCTATTTTTGTACAACTTGTTCTGTATGCGTACCCGTTTTTGTGTCCATTAAAAAAAACAAAATTCAGCGATAATTGTATTTTAAGGTACCTTCTTGAAACACAAGATTAAGTAATTTTATTATCTATTGCCACTATTTTTAGGAGACTCCTCTATCTACTGCAAGCGCTCCAGGTACCGTTACCCGCGAAGGTCTCGTGTACAATCCTCAGGTAATCCTACCAATTATGCAATTGCTCAGCGTCCGTGATCTTCACGTTTGTGCTCAGGTCTGTAAGCGGTGGAACGAGTTATCTCTCCATCCGTCGCTATGGAAACATATGGACCTCGCCAAGAACCGTCTTACAAGCAAGTACGTAAACGCAGTTGTTATACTAAAATGGAAATAATAACCAAGCAACGGCATCTTAGCTAGTAATATATTATCAAAGCTCGCCATCAGCATCAATAGCTTGAATAAAAGTTAACGTCATGCCTGATATAGGACGATTCGGAGCAAAACTTGTAGCAAGACCTGCCCTAGTAACTCCATTATCTGGTAATCAGTTTTTATGACGCATAATATACTGGTATATTGAAGCGCTAGTTTCTGTTTAAGTTAGGTGCCTTTAATCTGTTTGCTGATTGCCGTTCTTCAATTAAATACATCTTCCTAGTTCGACATCCTGTTCGAACGTCCGAAGTAATGCATTGCTTCTGACAGGTGGCCCCTTACAGTACAAGAACAACCGTATGGCTACTTCCTATTTGAAACCCAGATTCAGTGGGTCCTTAGTAGGCTTAAATTTAATAGACAGACACGATCTTACTGCATAATAACAAGAATTAATTAGGAGATTACGTTTTCTTAGTATGGAGTCATTCGGAACCGCAACTGACTGTATTGATTTTAAGAAAGGCTTGACGCTTTAACCATGTTTCACACCTTTTCGTTGAAAAATCCGTGTCTTGTTGTACTTTTCAATCAATGACCTGTCATTGCAGATCCCTTGTAGCTATTGTACGCCGCCAGCCAGCGCTGCTAAACGTCTCGTGGACTTCTCTAAGCCGCGACCAAATGGATTGGCTTTTACCACGCATACCTGCCACAAAGGGGCTTTACGTGCGTGGTCTGGCTATAGCTTCTCTAAAGGTTTGTAGGTTTCATCAAAAATGAGTATTATTTTGTTCTTCCCAAAAAGGCAGCTGTACTGGCTGGTTGTTATTTCTATCAACAAAATTCTTAGGCGGTTATAAATGCATTTGCAAAAAATGCCGGTGATCGTTTTTTAATTATACCAAGTATAAATAGTTAATATATAGATATTTAATATAGATAATAAACATCACTGTTTGAGGAAACGCTATTAAACAATGTAACATCAGTTATAACGTGTTGCCCAGGCATTAAATGCTGAGCAGGGTCCTCAATTGAGGTTTCTCGATCTGTCCTGGGTGGATGGATTGGATGACGAACGCTTGAAGGAATTGCTCCTCCCTGAGCCGCCTGGTGGAGACAAACATGCATCTGCGTTGGCCGACTCCAACAATAAAGTAAGAGAAGCCCGCATTATCGACCATATATATATATATATATATATGGACATATATGTATATACACAAAAAGTACACAGAATGGGGCAAAGTGGGCTTACAGTGCAGAAAGGCTTAAGTACAATACATAATTCAAAAAACAAAGAAAAAAAGCTTTTATTTTCAAAGGGCTTACTATTGAAGCAACATCTGTTTTAATTATAGACCTAATTTTTGTCATTTCTATACTTACCCTACTCACCGTAGACATATTCAAAATGGGCAAAGTTTATATGTAAATATATACATAATTTTTTACAAATCTGACTTAACGCTTTGAATTTTAGAGAGGAATTGACAAGCGAGACCGGTGTTGGCCTCGACTACGGGCTCTGTCCGAGCTCAAACTTTGTGGTAACCCCATCACAGACTCGGGCGTTCGCAGTGTGTGTCAATATCTTGTCAATCTTCAACAACTGGATTTATCTAATTGTAATCGTGTCACCGACTTGTCGCTGATGATGCTTGCATCGAAGCTGCACAGCAAGCTCATGCGGCTCGTCGTGTCGCACTGTCCCCAAGTGACCGACGCTGGACTAGAAGCTCTTAAGATGTGTACGAAGCTCGAATGTATTGACGCCCGAGGATGCTCCAAGGTGCATGAGGCTTGTTTTTACGACTTTCTCTGTTTCTCGGTTTTATAACTCTGATAGCACTACCCTTGAAATAGTAAATTTCACGTAACATTGACAGTTACGTCACTACCTCCAGTTACCCAACATGTATATGCAGCTAATAGCATAAACAATATCGTTCAACTAATTTAGTGCATTACTTAGATCTTAAATTGCCGTTTATTCATTGCTATTAAACAACTGTTGTGCTAACCAATGTTGTTGCAGGTCACTGAGGATGGTATCAAACGTCTCCTGGTCTGCATGCCAAGTCTCAATTCAATTCGTGAAGGAAAGCTCGTCACCGCTAAATAGACTACAGCATGTATAGGTGTTCATCCTTTTCAGTGTCTTTATTCACGGCTCATATCGTTGTCGATACGCACTTAACCTAAGCTTTCTATAATTTTACTATTTCGTGTTCAGTCTTCGTGCATCTGTTATTGTTATTATTCATTCAAGTATCGCTATGCACCAGCAAATTAGGCCGTCAACGTTAATGCAGAATCGTTTAAATTCCTAATTCATTTTTTGCCTGTACACGAATAAGCTTCATTTCCCGTTTTTTCTCATGTTAGCATTGCCATCTTGACAGGACTTCGAGATATATATATATATATATATAGAAAATAGAGAGAGAGAGAGAGAGAGAGAGAGAGAGAAAGTGAGCGAAATCGCATGAGAACAATATGCACAACAATGTACATTATCAGTGTGATGACAACACCCGAGAACATCCATTGCCGAGAAAGTTGTCAACGTTGGACCTTCAAGGTAACCCCCTGAATGTAATGGTCCCCTTCGTGACCTTTTTCACGAGACAAAAAAGAGACGGACATGTCGTTTCAGAATAGACGCAATAAGTTTCGGTCTGCGAGAATAACAACGTCCACCTCATATCTAGCTCATTAGTACTGCGATCATTATCCTGATAGATGGATCCGTAAGACCTCTACTGGGTGACCTCAATGCACAATGCTCGTGAAACTAAGATATAATCGCACCAATAATATCAAGTGACAATACGCCGTACCAGCCCTGCCATTAACGAAACTGCGGCATGATATAGAAACATCGAGATACACAGATATGCATAACTGAGAAAACGATCTCGTTTGCGACCAAACCTTATGACTTCTTTGTGATCTCAAGGATCTGTACAGCAACGATACATCAATTCCTTCCCAATGAATAGGCTATAGCAAGCAACCAATGACTATGGAGGAATTATAATGAACCTTTGAAACGATCATATTTGATGCTGGCAGCTATTCGAATCAAGGCACTTTACTTCTTTGCTTCGAAACAGAAACAAAGTCAAACACTCAGCATTGATACAATCGATTGGTGAGTGTCCAGTCGGTGGCGCATGTGCCGACTGTGAACTACAGATGCACATAATTTGTTCGACAGCATTTGTACGTCGTGTTATGTACAATACAAAATACATACAATAGATAGCAATAGGTTATAAGGTCAGTTCATTAATACGAAGTTATATTTATGCAAGTGTCTTGCATCAGGTTGCTGCCAACATTAGCGAATAGAGCGAGATACACCTGGATGATAGCCCACGAACAGAGAAACAAACGCATACTGCGTGCGTGATCATAACGTGGTTACCGATGAACGGCCAGCCGGTCAACAACGATAAACACGCCAGTCACACATATATATGTTATTATCTATGTGGTGTCAGAAGACATTACAGTGTAACAGCGCCATTTCTAACGGATCAACCGACAGAATAAGCGATTGTGCATCCTCTTTTTACTGATGAGTAGTTTTTACCTGACAGTGCTGTGAGTAAATGCTGATTCTGATCAGAGCCGATATCGTATGCCCCAAGAGCTAGCGGCTGCTGTGAACTTTAGGTTGCTGTCATATTTAGAGAGTCATAATTAAGTATGAATTAGGTTTGTAAAAGACTCCGCCTTAAGAACACAAGTACATATGAATGGATGTGCACTATGCCCGAACCAAAAAGCCAACATCGTAACCCTAGAGACAGCCAGTGTTCGCCTAAATGAACTTCTGACGAGTTCAAAACGAACTGCCTACTCGGATCACGCGCCGAAGACACGACAACACCTTGAACCCTAACGATGCCCATAAGATTTACATATAATATGTATACGCTAGAAGAGCGAGTATCGATTTGATCAAGAAGAAGTTTGTGTCAGCCAATCAATCAATTTGTTTATAGATTTGGTCTTCTTACTGTAAAGAACATATTATAGTTCGTCTGTCATATTTCATTTCTTTTCGTTAATATTGTGATTACACATGGTGGTATACAGCAAAATGCAGCAATAGCAGGAGTTCAATCAGTAAAGAAAATAGCCTTGCTTTATTGACACAAACCGTGTACATATTCACGCCGGCGGATTCGAACCAGCGGTTTTCTTGAGCCTGGCATCCAATCTAAGCCGACTGAGTCACCGCTCTTGAAGGAAGACAGGGTAGACCCATTACCGTTGCTTCGGTTCTCTACCCGATGGTTGGATAAATCCACTGTCGAATAAACAACCATTATTTTTGGGAATGAATCTCAACAATGGGGCATTCTGTGGATTTTAACTACGCAACAAAAAAATTTCGCAATGTCTGTAAAGGATTTAACTTTGAACCTACAATATGTAGGTAAAAAAAACGGTTAACGGATATTCAATACCGTATTTTTAAGTCACTCCCTTTCTTCCATTTTTTTACTTACATATTTTGCCATGGTGGCATATCGTTGTTCTGTTCCTTTTGCTGTCACATAAATCGGAGTGAGTTGTTAAGTTCATTAAAGTTCCTCATAATAAAGAAGGGCGAAAACATATAGCCATATGGGTTAACGTAGCATTTTAGTTTTTTAATATTCTTTAATGAATCGACGTACCACGTTTCTGCCAAAGCATTCGTCAGTTGCACCCGAGGCTTGACAGATAGTCAGCGCTGAAATCAATATGGTGCTGAAATCGAACTTTTTCGTCCAGATTATACAGCCCTTTTGATATCATAGAAAGGCTAAAAGAGGTCACTGCTCACAAAAAGCTGTGTTTATCGCTGTAGTATTATTATATCGCCGATTGTTAACAACGAACATATTGAAACTATTTAGCAATAGGAAAGCTTTCTTTTTCTGGCTCGTGCCACGGCCAGAAATATCCTATGTTCTATATCATAAAGAATACCCTATCGTTCTGTTGCAATATTTTCTGTTGTATCTTTTTTAAATCATTATTACCACGACAACGTACATTCAACTAAATATATCAATCAACTACTCTTTATATTATATTATTATCGTATCAATCGACTGAATCAGAGTCGACGTGAATGCGACTGTGGCGCTGCATATATATTATACACAGACATCTATATATAAAAGTATATCCTGAAAAAATCTGATTCTAATTGATCTAATTATGTGTGTAGACGCTGTACAAATGATGAAACAAGAAGCATATTCAAAAATAAAACGATATACATATATCTATAAATATAGTATTGTATAAAGGCTTAGCAGGCCTTTTTTTATCGCTCTTGCCTGTCAGTGTTAACCGACGTCGCTCTAGCGTTTTTTTGGAGCAGCTATAATAATACTTCTGGTATAACTGCAATTGAGCTGTGCAGATATATTGGGTTCACGAGATATTTGCGTGAAAAATACGTAGTATTTCAATAAAATCCGACCAGTCAAAAACGTATAGATAAAATTTAAAAATAATTAACCAATTATCCGGAAGGCTATATTTTCACGAGCACTAAAAAGAAAGTACTGTTCGATGAATTCAAACTGACTATATTTAAAATCAAAGCGTCTCGAAATAGATAAACGTCCAAATCAGATGGACCCGTAAACTCTTGTTGTTTTTCCTCTCCGACAGTGAGTATAAATGATGTTAAAGCAATAAAAATACCATTGGACAACATAAATATATTGAGGTCGAAATTAGTGGATTATTTTATTAATAATGGTGTTAATGGATTTGAAAGTTACATTAGGTGTATTGGTCACTCGTGTATTCACTACACACTTTAGCAGAAAATCAGTGGCACTCCTCTGCGTAATCTTCAACTTTCATATCATTAAGACCAAGCTCTTCGTTTTGTTCAGATGTCCTTTCATAGTGAATTATGCGAAGTTGAGGATCTTCGTTAGGCGCAAGCAAATTTTGGATGTACGAATTACCACAGGGATCATCCAAGACGACTGTGCAACTACAGAATAGGGAAATAAAGAGACAAAGAAAAACTAGGCTTTCTTATAACATAATTTATATCAAATCTAATCGACTAATAATTTACTATCAAAGAAATAAGACAGCATGAGAAGGAAATTAGTCGATACAAGTCTGGTTAGAAAAAAAAAAGGCTCGTAATGCGGTAGCTCAGCAGGCGAATGAAACGTGACAAACTAGAATCCAGTTATTTCGGATTTTCAGAATATTCAAAACTTACGTCTCACGCAACTCTTTAATAGCATCCATGCGGGTGACAAATTTTTCGAGGCGTTTTTTTGTCTCCCCAGTAGCAGAATCGCCTTGAATAAACGGATTGTCGCGGCCCAGCTGAGCAATTATGTCTTCTAAGAGACCTTCGACTGTGGTAAATTTTCCAGCTATTAGGCCTGGACCAATCTGTAGAACATACGATTCCGACCTTAGTGCTTTCATATTATCTTGGTCATTAAAACAGGTTTAATATTGCTTTTGTTTTTGCTTTCCTAGATCTCAAATTCAGTTTTTAGATAGCTTGCTAACAAATTAAGTTATCCGAACTGAGAGAAAAATTCGCAATACTTTTACTATGTACGGCTTTTCGTATTCTCAAACACTTCAATATGGCGTGCGTGGCCACACCTCAAGTTCGAGTTCAGGTATTTCTAGAGTACACGTCTCACTCTTAAGAACGTCGCGGGTAAGATCAATGCGTTCCTTAAGCGTTAATTCTATACGTTTTCCCTGTAAAAAGCAAAATCGACATCAAATCAACTAGGTATTCCGTTGGGGCAAATACGAATCGATAATTAGGATATTTTACAACTACTTGGGTTATTGGGTTCATTATTGACGTTTTTAGTTGTTGCTTATGCGCCTGAAATGAAAAATAAATGGAGTAAAATAGATGTTACCAATTCTACTAATGCACTTCCGAATGTATTTTTAACACTTCTAATGTAATACAATAAAACGTAAGTAATGATTGAATATACAAGATTGATTACTGTTAGTAGCTTGTTGGCCTTTACCACAAAACTAATTCTTCAATCTAAGTAGGCTGATAGGGCATGTCGAAGAATTTACCTTTAAGAGTAATTTACCCACCCAGCAAGAAGTAAAACATCTAACCTATAGGTAGATATGCACATGTTTCACCTGGTCCAACCTGAAAGACTAAGTAAAACGGCCGCATACAAGATACACACACCAAATGGATTCATTCAACGTTATCACTCACATGAATCGTGATGTTACGCCAGACTGACATAAACTTACTTTTGGCTCAATTCCACCACCGGATTTAACCTCATTGGTCTTATGACCGCAAACCTCGCATACTAGCGCCATAATCACCACCTAAAAAACAGAATCTACTGGGTCACATACACGATTTGTTCGCACGATTTTTTTTTCCGATAAAACACTAGGCAGGAGCCGACTCATAGGCAACCTTTATATATCGATGAAAAAGTTTTCGTACACTCCATTATGAATTGAATTCTAGCGCAAAAAGTTGAGGGTCCTAAATATTTGAATGGTTGAAATCTCGTTCAACAGTAGATAGGTTAACCTGCGAAGCTGCAAATTAGACGAAGAATTTGTTCTTCAAATAAAACGTTATTAAAAAGCTGCAATGTCGTAGCTAGAACTTCTGCTATTTTCATTGTATAACCTTCAATAGAGAATATTACAAATCCATCAATAACTTCTATTCTCCAATCTATAAACTGTACAGTATTTATGTGCCGATAGCCGGTTGAAGCAGCATGACCCTGTCCGAATTAAGCAGAGAGTCAGCCGACTGAGTCATCGTTTGAACTTACCACGAGGCTAATACTACAGCGCACGTAAAGGAATCACACAAAATGGAATACAACGTTTGATACTGTAATCATAAATATGTGCATAGGAGACGGCTGTCAGTAGTATCTTTGGCCACAAGAACCCACCATACTAATTGTATAAAGAGCATCTTCAGAGCCTATGCCAATGAGTATAATACATCACGGGCAACGCTTTGACAAAAGCCGGTCCTAGCCCAGCCAATCTTATAGACAAGAAAATGAATAAAAATGTATAATTGCTTACTGTACTTTTAATAATTACGACGCATTGATACAATTAACCGATATCATATACAAGAGGAGAGGACGGACCTCTTTAAAGTGCGGTATGTCGGTGAGCTTCATTTTGGTTTCAGCTGGCGCCTGACATTCTGGGCATCGCGTAGCAAAGCTATGTACTTCCTCGCGCGGGTCCGCAGCTTCATCTTCAATATTTCCCCCGGAGTACGAGCCTCCATCAACGGGTAAACCCAGCATCAGGTTCTGCTCAACACTACGTCGAAAGTGTGATACCACCTAATAATGTTGACAATACGATAAAAAAAGGAAGACCAGCAATAAAAGCAGATTATTTATCTTCCTTAAATAAGTTAAAGGGTAATTTTAGCATTCTTCTTCGTTCACTGTTAATCCATTGTAAACTGGTTACAGAAGCTTCTATTGTAAGCAAAGTACTATTAGTCTTTGCACTAACCAGCTGAAGGTCCTTTTCCGGGTGATACGGGTTCTCAATGAACGAATTACCAGAACAGTCTTCAATAATTAAATGGAATGGCTTTTCTACTCTCTTGAGGTCCTCCATTTTTTGTGTAAAACTGGTAAGTTTTTCGATTGTCTCGGCATCCACGGCAGGCGATGTCAGTATTTGACGGATACCTAAAACCCGGGTCGGTTGTATTAGTATTACTACTATACTCGTAATGCTATTTATGGCAAAGGTGTAGAGAAATTCTTAAACAGTTCTTCACTATAAAAGTGCTAGCACAAATTTCACACTCTCTACCTTGAATGGCGCGATCAATGAGTCCTTCGATGTTTGTCACTAATCCCGGTTGAGTTTTCTCTTGAACTTCAAATTCGACTTCGGGAATACACAGTGAAGCGTACTCAGTCTTTACGACCTGCCGATCCAAATCACGTTTGTATCTAAAATCATCATATTAATACATATTATTACAAATACGACTGCATTGCTAAAATATTTCATTCATTTCACACGATTTAACCAATATACAGTATGTATTAGAAGTCACAAATATGTAGCATGCATAACATATGGTTTTGTGCATGTATGAGAGCGTACTTTGGTATTAGAATTAAACATGAAGTGAAAGTTAACTATAGCTCATAGCTAATATATATAAACGCGTAAGACGCTAATTTCATATACATTCATGTAGGCTTCAAAGAGTATCGTCGAGCCACAGAAATACTAATCCATTAGCTTTACCTTTTTTCTTACCTGACAGTGAGATCAAGTTTGTGCCCGCGTTCCTGGAACTCGGAAGCACTTTGCAATTCATTGTTTGACCATCCACAATGCTTACAGTGAAATGACATGAGAACGACCTTCGCTTCCGCTCGAAAGGACATCAGTAGCCGGAATTTACCGGAAAAAAAGATAAAGAAAGATAAAAAAAAGCTGTGTTATTATCTTATATAGAAAAAAAAAACTGCATGGTTCTCTTTGCCTCGATTCCATAGATGTAAATTGTAGAAACATAGGAAATAACGAGTACCGACCTCTTTGTAGAAGGGAATCCGTGTTAGCAGAAGTCGTGTTTCCCCTTGACCATGACAACTGAGGCATAGTGAACCAATGGTTGTCACCTCTTCATCAACTTCGTCTGCCTTCAAATCCTTGAATACTTTATTGCCAACAGTAGACATAATGTGTTCTCTTAACAATTCTAAAAGATTTTGAAAAATGGTTAATTTTATTATAATAGCTCAGAATAGCTAGAAATATTTTACGTATGGTTCAGAAGTTTAACTAAATTAAACATAAGCTAAGGCTAATGATAATTTCCTTGACTATTCAGGTTGTGTAAATATCCGTATGCGAGGTTTAGAGCATGTTCCGTATACACCAATTCCAGTGAACACACCCAATAAGCTGGAGGTCTTTTTTCTTGTTAATAAAACGTTGGTTCAGAAAGTATTTACTTATCTGCAATTCCCATACCTATGAGGCTATTATGAATTGTTGTCACGGATATTTCGTGAAACATTGCGTTATAGCTTTCGACAAGTTTTACTACAAGAAATTTTATAATGAGAGCAGAAATGTCCACAGATTTTTAGGATAACTAGATATGACCAATATTTCAATATGTCAGGCAGAAGTTTTTCTCAAAATGTGGCAGAACTTTCTAGAGTACTTGCCTTACAACTCTTCGAGATTTCCCGGTAAGAAATGGAAAGTATTATTAAGTCAGCGTTAATCGTTCTTTGATTTTCTTAGATTAATTATAAGGAAATGGTTCCATAAAATGCACCTTAAAAATAAAAAAGTAGAACACGCGCCGCGCAGTATAGGGCTTGGCTGTGTTGCGAAATATTTTAACCACATCATAATCTGACATCTTAAGCCGCGAGTTTTTGCGCTGTCTACTCAAATGTATACTGCCATATTGAAATTACTCTTCCAATCACTTTCTTACAGAATTTATGAATAAGCAATTCATAAGCTAAGTTTGATTTAACAACCTAAATTGAGCCTGAGCCTCATGCCCATATTTCCGACTTCACTCACTTATTTTAACTAACCTGTACAGCAAAACAGAAACGAACTTTGAAGTCGCATCCTAAATTCTATAGCGCAATCTTATATTTTCAAAAGCGTTTTTTTCAAAATTTACTTACAGAACTGCGATTAAATTAGCGCCAATGTCAATTATGTTCGAAAATGACGGTTCTTTTCGCTACCACATAGCCTGACGTAATTGGACCCGAATACACGTATGGCCCGACACTGTCGATTGTCGGGCCTTGCTTAAGTTGGCTTATTGTGTGAAACATAGCGGGTACTGACCATATAACAGGTGTTGCGCTTCTATATATTCACTCCATCAGTCGGAATGTTCTTGCATTGAAGTCGAAATGAAAGGTTTCTAATTTTTCTTGCTTGACTTCTTTTCGTAAATATGCTTAACTATTATTCAGAATTCATAAACGTATTGTGACATAACGCGCCTGAATTGCTTCTTCATAATGGAATAGAAACAATATTCGGTTTTAAAATCTTGTGCTTATCGTAGTCTCTGGCAGAAGGCACGTGTACCGTCCTTCCTATGACACAAACACTTCACTTTCTATTTCACAAGGCAGCCCTTGGAGCAGTGCGACACACGTCCGTCACTTAACGAGACCCACAGCAAAACATTGAAGGCTTGGACTTTATTCGTGTTTCTGAAAAAAAGAAGATTCGAGCGCAATAGAAGTACGGAATATAACCTGAATTTTGGGTGGCATGCAGGGTGAGACTCGAATGCTGAGCTTGCCCTTCGGGTAGACTTGGCGTCCCGGTCGTCATCTCTTGGTCGAAAAGCCACTCTAAACAATCGCCTGGCCTACTATCGGTCTGACAGCTGACGTGGACCAAATGACGGCCACTGGATGGCGAAAAGCCTCGCTGAATACGAGTCTATCGCATAGTCCGGTGGCCTAGAATAGGTACATTTCAGTGCTTGTTCGAAAAACGGTGTAACTCGTGTGATACCGAATGATCGCCGTCAGTAATAGGAACTGGTGGCACAACAGCCTGCTTCGAAGCAGAAAAGATCAATAGCTTCAGAAGGATCTTCGTGAATTCAACTTTTAGCTGCGATAGCCGTGCGCTCATCCAAACGGGGATAGATCAGCATGGGTGCTGAAGTGTCAACAGTGGCCGAGTTGGCAGGCAATGAGAAGCTGTCACGGCTGGTCGCTCCTGAACCTATCTGTTTTAATAATCCGTTTTGGAATGGTTTCATGTCATATACTGTGGTCATACCCCGAACAAAGCATGACGACGAGATTCTATCAGCTAGCATTCGGGCACACCTGGATAAGTTCTTGCAGAATAATCTTAAGTCATGCAACCTGGCAGCACTGCTTCATGTGTTTCTTAGTCGAGTGCGCGAAATTGTCTCGCTGCCATCTAATGAGCAGAGCGCAGAGTTTCTCTGGCAAACGGAACGTCTTCTTTTTGTCATTCGTTGCATATGCAAATATCTTATAGAGACGCTAACAGAAGACGCACTACTGAAGCAGCTCAACTCGAACGAAAAGCCCAAGGAAGAGCCGGAAAAACTTCTTGACTACGTCCTTTTTGCCCTTCTCGAAATCCTTGTTAAAGTGCCGTTAGACCGCAGTTCATACAGTTTACATGTGGAAGCATTATCCACATTGCTCGTCTTCGTTTCGCAGCAAATGTTTTCTTCGAGAGCGTCGCATACGTCCGTCATCTTCACGACCCTGATGAGCGGGCAATGCAAACTTTTATCGGCAAGTCTCACCAAGTATCTAGTGGAGACTTACATGGCCCAAACGAAGAATCCGTCGAATTTCTATGATCAAAACGGATCTCAAGGCGGAAGTTTGATCGTGGATCTAGCTGTGGGTCTGTTTGGAGCACTCGGAGTCACTGTCGCCGAGCCGACCCCCAGCGACCAGCGGCCGGAGGCTGTCCTATCCCAGCTGTCGCTTACGGCATTGCTAATTCTTACAAACCACTGCACAGATATTGGACCTAACGGAGTAGCAAATCCTTTCCGTAAACATTTATTCGCCTTTGGCCTCGAAGAAGTTCAGGTTGAGGGGGCGGGGGTATGCAGTTTTATTTGTAATGGACATCGCCTCCTACAAGTGATCTGCGGCGACCTCAACGAAGCGCCAGCAATGCTTCTTCTCTACATGCTTTTACACAACAATGTAACATTTAAGACGTTTGTGTTGTCACGAGCAAATATCGACTATCTAGTTCTGCCGATATTGCAGGTATTGTATCAGGCAGAAAATCGAAGCTCGTATCACGTATATATGGCACTTATTGTCCTGTTGATATTGTCGGAAGACGATTTATTCTCGCAGACCCTTCAAGATGTTACCCTTCCACATGTATCGTGGTATACGGAACGCAATGTCTCAGATATAACCCTAGGCAGTTTGTTCATTCTGGTGGTTATTCGTACAATGCACTACAATATGACACGAGCGAGAGATAGGTACTTGCATACGAACTGTTTAGCAGCCCTAGCCAATACGTCGGCCCATTTTTGTCGGATGCACCCTTACGCCGCGCAAAGGATCGTGTCTCTTTGTCAGATACTAGGAAAACGCTACCACCGGTTACAAGAGCAAATTTCCCTGCTTGAAGAAGGAACGGAGGCGCACAAAGAACTGTTTTCGGATCTCGGCGTTTGCGAGGAGATGCTACGTCTGATGCTTGAGATAATTAATTCGTGTCTCTCTCATCAGCTGAAGAATAATCCCAATCTTGTCTACTGTCTCCTGTACAAAAGTGAGGTATTCGGCCATTTTGGTATGGATAACGCGTTCATGGACGTAGTTAAAAATATTGATATCGTGATACAGTTTTTCACCAGCAAACTCGATCAAGCGACGCAGAGCCAACAGCGGTCAGAAGCTCAGGTAACGCAACTAATTCAAGAAGCATCTATGCTCTGGAGTAGTGATCGATTACGCAAATTTCCTGAGCTTAAATTTCGTTATGTGGAAGAGAATCAGCCTGAGGAGTTCTTTGTGCCGTATATCTGGTCGTTGACTTTTGCTTCGGCGCCTATACATTGGAAAACCAAAAACCTTATTCTTTTCAATCCGAGTGGCAATCAAGCTGCCGGCGTCCTTGTCTAGTCTTGATTAAGAAGTGTCAGAGAAAAATTAGTTGATTATAAATACACATCGTCCATGTCTGCTAATATTAAACCATTTTTCAGTCACGACCTTAAGCGTAGTGACTATCTTCATGTAGTACGTTGCTGGCCACGTCCTAAGCAGAGCAGATATCGAAGTAATTAGTGTTCGTGAACTTCATAAACGCACTTGTACCACATGCGTATGCCAGTAGGGCAGCAGAAAATGAGAGCAAAAACAAACCGAGTGCCGTAGGTAAACGCGTGGTTAAAGAAAACTATGAAAATGATCAAGCAGAGCTGGAAGACCAGGTGGTAAAAGTCTGCGACAGGAACATGCAAACATGGGGTGATAATATATATATATATATATCTAAACGAAACAGGGATTCCGCGTGAGTAAGAGTTACAAAGCAAGTGTGGGAGAGTGAAGTGCACATTAAGTGAAAATGATGGTAAAATATAGGAAAAAGCAATGGAAAACTGCTGACGGTAGCGTAGCAAAGAACAACACAGAACGAGTATAT